GATGAGTCTTTCACTGTCCAGTAAAAATCCGGTTCAATCTCTATTGCTGAGTGTTGCTGCAAACATCAGAGCAGAGTTGACCACAGCTGCAGCGCTCACGCCACGCTCACCACATTGAGGAACAGAGCTTATAACGGAAAACCTCACTGCCTGGGGTAAAACCAAACCGCACATCAACAGTAGACGTGCGACATAGCTAAAGATGTATGAGGGCCGCACTGGGATAACCCGGGGAATTCAAACCTGTCCGATGTGTGCTTCAAATAACTCCAGGCCGCTTCCTTTGTTGTTGCAATCATCTATTTATTCCACTTTGATTGTCTTATTCAGATCTTACAGATTTACACTGACTGACCAGGCCAAACCATCCAATAGTGCCAACAATAAACGGCATTAAAACGGTCAACAGAAATTATGACCACCCTGACTCACCCGCTTCCTCAAACATAATAAGCCTGCACGCCAGTATGGCTCCCATTCATACCTTTAGTGACAGCCACGCCCACCTCGACACACCCACCACCCATGTGTCAAAGGTGTGTGCTCCCGTCACCTCAATAATCATTCATTTCATTCATATGGCTCTTACAAACAGGTTAGAGCAACATGGCAGAGAAAAGAGACTTTAGATCAGAGATGTGATGACAGCTGCTTGATTTCTTTGTGCCATGAGGCTCAAAATGTCTGTTTGCATTCCTGCATCTGGTAACAAAGTAAAGAACCTCTGAGTTATTTTTGACCAGGACTTATTTAAATCTAATATTAAACTGGATTCTTTGATTTCCTTCTTTCTGGGTTATTGCTAAAATTAAAGATATCCTGTCCAGCAGAGACGTAGAAAACAGTCCATGCATTTGTTACTTCAAGGCTGGAACTTGTTTAGTGACAGAAAGTCCATAAAATACAGTTAAAATCCTTCATCTGATCCAGAACGCTGCAGCAGGAGTTCTGGTGAAAACTAAAACCATCATATTTGTTGCAGTTTTCCTCCATGGTTCGGTCCAACGCTTCAGAAAAACATCTAACCAAAAACAGAGCAGCTCGTTTTGCTCTATTTGTTCCAAATACATAATTATTATCAGAATGCACAAAGCTTTAGGTTGGTCCCTGGATAAAAATAAGGCAGAAATTATCCTCTTTTTTTCTTCTTCTTTTAGAAATGTTGTAGTATCTAACATGCTGTAATATAAGGTTTTCTTTTAAAAATTACTTTAGAAAATTACATTTTTCTTCATTTTTGTTTTGTAAATTGCCTTGAGATAATGTATTATGAATTGGTGCAAAAGAACTAAACTGAATGGAAAGTAATTAGTTTTGTCTCCTGATGTGTCTGTAATTGCTGCCTGCCGAAAAACAATGACACAACATCTGTTTAATAAAAATGTATAAATGACAAAAGAAAAGCTAAATTTTGGTCTCAAAAGGTTCATTTTGTGCACATAGTGATCGATTTCTTATACACTAGACTCCAACAATTCTTCCTTTTTTGCTAAATCAGTTTTTCTTAAGTTTAAAAAGAGAAAGTTAAAATAAATGTCTTACCTTTCTGACGTTCTGCAGGTTCTTCTGTTTGTTGTGACTTTAAGCCAAGTGGAAACTGAAATGGTTCTGTAGACGTGGTTGTTGCTTCACCACAGAAGTTCTGCTTGATATTTGCACATCTGTGGTTTTATGCTTCCAGGAAAGGGAAAATTTGTGGTCATCTAAACCACAGACATGAACACGTAGACGCCTCATGGAGCGGGTCGGCCCGTTGCTGCGATACGTCACAGCGTCCACCATATTGAATGTGGAA